TCCTGTTAGAAGATGCTAGCAGGCTCTGCACCTTAGTCGCTCTCTCCTCTGTCCCTTCAGGAAATGCTGTCCCAAAAGCTCGGTGCTTCTCAACATGGTGCCTCCGAATGTTAYATTCTTTTAATACTGACAGGCTTTCGTTGCATATCAAGCACAGCGGCTTAGAGTTCAGTCTTTCGGGTAAAAAAAACATGTATTTGTCAGTCCAGGCAGGGTTAAAACGCCGATTTTCAGAGTCAATTTTACGTTTCTGACCTGTTAGCGACATCTTTTCACGGTTGTTACTATTCTGGGCTGGCGTTGCTACGATACCAGCAGCGGTGCGTTCACGTACAAGAGAAAAGGTGGGAATTTTTAAAACTCTCACAGCAAATATGATTTAAATGTGTTTTTGCGGTTTACGTTGGGTCAGTCGGGGGTGGGCCAGTCAAAGACGGTCCGCGGGCCGGATGTGGCCCGGGGGCCGCCTATTGAATAGCCCTGGTGTAGATGTCAGCTAGCCTTCTGCTACTTTTAGCTAGCAGCTTGTTCATTTTAGGTGTTAGCAGCAGGCTGGAGGGCAGCAGTACAGCCTTGACTCTGTTCTAACAGCACTGTGTTGGTTCTGACAGGTGGATGCCTGGGCCCAGTCCAGTAGTGTGCCTGGTCTGTTTACTGGTTCTACTGGAGCTCAGGTGCTGACCTCTGAGGAGCTGTCCAACAGTGGRCCTCAGGCCTGGCTCAAGAAGGTAAAACACACCAACAACATCCAGAACCTGTAGAGGAGGTCTTCATCAGACCCTAAAACTGAACCTCTGTCTGTTCAACACAAACTAAAAACACAACGAGAAGGAAGAAGCTGAAACAGACTTAGAGCTGAAAGAAGCACATGGTTAGCTAAAAGCTACAAAGCTACTAGCTGAAAGTTAAAAGAGCAGAACTTAAGTAAAAAATGGAGAAAGATTAACAAAAAGTTTAAAWAGTAGCTACAAGCTAAAAGTACCCAAGATCCTGAACTCTAGCCAAAAAAAGTTAAAGATTAGCTCGAAGCTAAACAAAATAAAACATTAGCTTGAAGCTAAAAATAGTAAGAAGCTAACTTGAAGCTAARTAAAGTAAAAGGCTAGCCTAAAGCYAAAGGTTTTAAAAGGTAAGCAGAAGTTATTGAGACACAAACAGTTAGCTGTATTTAAAGGTCACAGGTTTTGTTATTAGTTCAGCTCATGTGATTCGTGGCTGAAAGCTCTCAGTAACAGCTGGTTCTGCAGGGTTGGCTCCATGCTGGTCTGGGTCTACRGAGACCAGCAGTTTGTCTGAACAGCACTAGAGGGAGCCTGAGTACCAGCAGTAGACCAGCACCACAGTTTGATCTGTTCTGAGTCAGAACAGATGACTGTTGGACCCACCGAGGTTTACTGGACCAGTACCACAGCTGCAGAGAAATGAGGACACAGGTCCCTCTTTAACAACCCCAGACCTCCTGACCTGTGACCTGTCAGCTGTGCAGGACTTGGTCCTGACTGTATTCATCAGAGACCGTGTCCTGGGTCTGGTCAGCAGGACCTGAACTAGTGGTACCAGCAGAAAACCTTACATGATGCTCTTTAAAATCTGTTTCTGCGTCTTTTCTTCAATTTTAGCTGCTGTTTTGCTGGYTTCAGTTTTTAGCCAGTGGTGGTTTTGGCTACAGTTTTGCTCGTGACAATATTGACCTTTGGCACATGTTGATCTGCTTTGGACCCCTGAGATCCACCTACTGGTCCCAGATCACCCACAGGGAGATCAGACCTCTTTCTCACAGGCCCACATGAAGAACTGGATCAGTTCTAGAGGGTCTTTGTTCACAGAGCTTTATGATCCCAGCAGAGTCCTCCAGCCCAAGGTTTGCCCAGGCTGGTCCAGAGTCTGTGGGGGACAGGTTTGTCCAGAGTCCGGGGGGTAGGCTGGTCCAGAGGTCTTAATTCAGCTCTCAGCTGCTGGACCTCAGCTCTGACTGGGTTTTAAAAGCTGAACTCTTTTAAATCATTTAAAACTTTAAAAGTAACTAAAATAAACCTTGAAACTGTCAGGCAGCTAAAACCAGAGCGATGTGGTCACGTCTTTGGTTCAAAGACCAGAACCAGAGTTCTGGACTAACTGAGACGTTCAKTTTAAATGAGACATGTCCAGATGTTAAAGTAAAGGCAGTGTTATTAAAGAGAACAGAGCAGRGCCCAACATGGCTCCCTGAGGGACACCACAACAAAGAGGTGCAGAAGAAGAGAATCCTCCAGAGATACAACATATTCCTTAAACCACCATAAACCTGATCCTTTAAGACCCAACAGGTCCTGTGTCCTGTCCCACTGGTRTACTGAGCTGTATGTCTCCTGTCTGTAACTGTCTGCTGGGTTAGGACCAGTTCCTCAAGGCGGCTCCGGTCTCAGGGGGTGTGGGAGAGTTCCTGATGAGAAAGATGGGCTGGAGGACCGGAGAGGGTCTTGGGAGGAACCGAGAGGGAACAGTGGAACCCATCGTCATCGACTTCAAGGTGGACAGAAAAGGTTTGTGACCAAAGAAGACCGGAGCCACAGACACATTATCATGGTGGACAGAGTCAGAGACGTTTATGTTTGGTGTCAAAAAGAAAAAATMAGTAGRTCCTCTGGATGGTTCTTCTTTAGTGAAACGTTTCGTCTCTCCTCCAAGAGACTTCTTCAGTCTGATGAGTTTCAGGTGAACTCAGCCTTATAAGCTCCGCCTCCACATGGACAAACAGGTTAGTCACAAAAGAGGGCCATCACCTAACAATAGGCCTGATTAGTTCTATTGTTCATAGAGGGTCATGTGCCCCATCACCTGACTTATTGGTTTGGATGCTGTGGTTATTTGGTGTTTTGTTATGCGAATATAGTGAATGCAAGCGGGGCTCAACGTCCCCTTGTTTTTGTCCCTCCCTCTTTGTGTTGGTATCATTGGGGCCCTGATTCACACCTTTTGCTCACAGGGGGCGGAGTCATACCTGCAATAACAGCGTTGTAGGAGGAGGACAACTGGACATGGAGGCCTCCACCTCTGTTTAATGGTGGACGGTTTTTCTTCACAAAGATGGCTTCCTTTGAAGCCATCTTTGTGAACAGAGGTGGAGGCCTC